ATACTGGTGCTTTCCATCTGACATAACAAAGAAATACTGAAGTTCCAGTTTCCTTGATACTTTTACATTTGGTCTTATTAAAAATGAATATATCGGGGCACTTGGGTGCCTCAGTGGTTAAATCCTCTGCCTTCAGCTCGGGTCATGATCTCAGGGTCCTGGGATCGAGTCCCACATCGGGCTCTCTGCTCAGCAGGGAGCCTGCCTCCTCTTCCTCTCTCTCTCTGCCTGCCTCTCTGCCTACTTGTGATCTGTCTGTCAAATAAATTAAAAAAAAAATCTTTAAAAAAAATGAATATATCACATTATTTCATATAAAAGAAAATATGGATTATGGTAGACAAGATATATCATGAAATATCTTCTCACTACCAGAAACCCAGAAATACTAGGAAAAAAATATATAACAAATACCACCACCACCAATTTAAATGTATACTTAAGCTTGCAAAAAAATTAGAGAAAATCCCCAAGGATAAACAAAGGGAATCCTAAACCAGAGGATTTAACATATAGCTGAGTTCAGCATTTGCTAATCTCAGTTACCTAGAGGGCTGGCTCTTAGGAGCCCTTTGCAAGTCAGAAAAAGAGATCTCAGGCTGTACCCGGTAGCAAGACGAGCCAAGGATCCTCAAAGAGCTACATCTTCAGTGAAAGAGTAGATAGGAAAACCCAGTTACCTGCAGAGACTGATAATAAGGAAATTTGGGTTCAGCATAATACCAGGGTATTAGGTCCGCTCCTGGATTTATAATTTAAATTTACTCTATCTGTGTGGTCCAGGAAACCACCTCCCCACTCACCATTTTCCCATGCCAAGAAACCAAGAAAATAACAGAGCAGTCCTGGTTTGGAAGTGCCTGGGTTGCCTAACAAAGCCAACGTACATCTTTTTCAAAGGAATGTACCTTCAACCTTGTTCTGAGAGGGTTCCACAGGGTAAACAACATGAATGTACAATAAAGCTAAAAGTTAATCCCAGTTCAAGTTAAACAATTTAAACTGTCTTCTTTTTTCCAGGAAAAGAACATCGCTTTTCTAGTTGCTAATGTTGCCTTAAATACACTTCTGAGGATGGGGTGGGTGGGGTATGGACAATGAGATTCTAACTACTCCCCTGGAATCTAGCTGGTTAGGACAGAAAAAGAGCAACCACTAAGTGCTCTCGAGAAAACGGAAACTAAGTAGGGCTGCTGTTCCTTTTCAATTACAAACTAAAGATCAGAAACCTTGAAAAAATTACTGAATTTCCTGGGAAAGTCAAGAGAATGGATTTAGAGACACCATCAAGTAGAAGCTGGTAATGACTGGGAATTCGTGACTGGGCTTTACAGACTGGAGGAACCACAATTGTAATAAAGGCATTTTTAGAGTAAGTCATTTGAATAAATGCAGACAAAATTGGTAGCTAGTTTTAACTGACATTTAAGTGCATTTTTGTACCGGCAAAAGTGTGGGGTGCTCAGGAATCTGTTTCTAATTTATGTTGTCACTCTGTTTACAGAAGGCAAAAGCCAAAGTTAGATTGTTTCTGGTCGGCAGAAAGCCAGAAAAGACAAGAGGAGGGGATGAGTCAAGTCTGGGTTGCAGAATGTTCGACCACACTCTAAGATAGGGACATTGAGTCTAAAGGACAGAGATTGCTCTGCAAAGACACAACGTGGGAAGGAAGTGCAGGCTAAAGGGACAGAGTAGAAAGGCTAGAGGGAGGCAGATCCAGAGTTCAAAAAAGACAGGAGCAGACTTCCATCACCCTGACGCAAAGGGTGGAGGCAGAGCATGGGAAAATCCACCTGGATGGATGTCTCAGGATCTGTAAAGGGCAACTAGACCCTCACAAGAAACAGATCATACATATCCGCTCACTCCAGGAGAAGGGCGATATCTCTTACTTGGAGATAAAATGAAGAGTCTGGTTTAAATAAAACAACAAAAAACAAAAAACAAGCAAACAAACACCCCACAAAACTTGTACTTTGAATGGTTCTTAGAGCAAGGTATTATCTACAAATCAACACTCTACAGAACTCAAACGTTTCTTAAGTTTTTATTGAAAACTATTTCATTGTAAATAAAAACTTAAAATATTTTTTTTTAAAATTCTTTAAGGAATGTAGAACTAAAACAATTACTTTTCTCTTTTAGGTAATTGCTTTTTTGAAAACCTTCCGTTAGAGACTGAGGAGGCAGTATCTGACATATTCACATCGCATATGGTCTTCAACAGATTGTTCCAGCATAGCTTTCTTTGTGTTTTCTCTTCTGAAATTAGTAAGCAGGAACTAGCATTTTCGTACAGTACTTGTCTTAAGTACCATAGTAAATGTTTTCAGAATTTGTTATCTAACTAATTTTCAGTTTATTTAAAGGATACAAAAATGTATTCTAAATTAGTTCACTTAAGTATCAGATGTACACAGCCAGAAATAGTTGCTGGATATCATTATAAAATCTGGTTTGAAAAGAAGTACACTGCTGCAAGTGGGCAGAAAATAAAACTATAAAGTTTGTGCTTCCGTCTAAATAGAAAACTCTACATAGCAGTTAATGTAGTAATAATTCCACAGTTAATGTAGTAACTCTTGGTCTCAATGCAAGTGATCGTATTTATGAACACATCAGAAAATCTCTCCTATGTGGCAATGAAAACTTTGGTACAAAGTGCTGTCTATTGGATACATTTCACTGAAGAACTCACTGGTGTCTATGAGTGAATTCAGCAGTGATTTATTTTGCTTCTAGAATATATATATAAAAGTAGGGGTGCCTGGGTGGCTCAGTGGGTTAAAGCCTCTGCCTTCGGCTCAGGTCATGATCTCGGGGTCCTGGGATTGAGCCCCACATCGGGCTCTCTGCTCAGCAGGGAGCCTGCTTCCTCCTCTTTCTGCCTGCCTTTCTGCCTACTTGTGATCTCTGTCAAATAAATAAATAAAATCTTAAAAAAAAAGTTTAAAAAAAAGAATATATATAAAAGTATTATAAATTAATTATATATATTAAATATTTTATTATGACATTAAAGTGATATATATTAATTATATATCTTAAGTACTATATATTAAACATTTCATAGGGTACTGTGAACAAATGGCAATAGCTATATAACCTAATACGATGAACTGTAAATAGCTTATTTCTTAGCCATCGCCGATAACCAATTTCTAACATTTCATTCATCTATTCATGTAAAGAAGTTCATTTTGAGGGGCACCTGGGTGGCTCAGTGGGTTAAGCATCTCCCTACGGCTCAGGTCATGATTCCAGGGTCCTGGGATGGAGCCCCTCATCAGGTTCCCTGCTCAGCAGGGAATCTGCTTCTCCCTCTCCCTCTGCCCTTTCCTCTCTCTCTCTCAAATAAATAAATAAAATCTTTGTTTTTAAAGTTCATTTTGAATTTTAACCATAAAAAAATAGTAAATATTCTTTATGCACGTTTGAACTTGTGTTACTTTGGTCTATGTTGGGCCGAACCAGAAACAGAGTAAAAGCACACAGGAGTAAATAGATCACAGTTAATCAAACCTTTCAAAGGAAAGGGCTTTCCCACACTGCAAGAGTAAAAGTTCAATGATGCTGCTACCTACTCTTACCAGACATCTCTGAATCTCTTGGGTCCGCCCACATACTGAGGATGACATTGCTCTGACCCCATTAATTCCTTGCCTACATTTTTCCAGGAGAACTAAAAATGCTTCGATATCTGCCACAAGTATCTTGTTCTGGAATTTTTCCTGGACTGTCTTTTATCTAGCTATTCTGTTACTCCTCAGTCCATATTTTTTTTTTTTTCTGCTCAGCCCTGTTGATACCCAATTTTCACTCTGTAAGAAGATGCTCATGTTTTATTCTGTTCATCAAGCTTTCCACTGGCACTCTTACAGAGTGTTACTTTCAGAATCTTCCCACTTGCCCCTTGAACTCAAACCAAGAGAAAGAGGAAACTGTCCTGAACCTCAGGCACTATACCCAGAGAGACTCCCTAGTGGCCTGAGTAGGGAAGGAATTCGAGAGCTAGAAACCAGTGAAAATGGTGCTATTAGCAAACCATCAACCTGGATTCTTCACAACTAATCCAAACCTTGCCCTTTACTTCCTTCATCATTGCTACATCTACTTAGCTTCTGACTTTCTGAAGTTTATTTGCCTTTTCTAGTCCCCAAATTATCCTTTAGATTTGACAGATTCAATTTCTCTAGGTTTGGACCTCAAAATCATGAAATAGAAGTAAAGATAATTTTCTACCTCATTAGGCTCCTAAATACTTTCAGAAATATTCCACCAAACATAATCTGATCTTTTTCTCTGTTGTTTTATTCTAGCATGCCTCAACCCCCATCATTCTGTTTCTCTCTTTATCTCTCTCTGTCTCTGTATCTCATTCTCTCTCTCTCTCTCACACATACACACATACAACACGGTTAGATTAGACATAGGACAAGCGTATTAATCTCACCATACTCTGGTTCATTAATCCTCATCTGGAGCTCTGTGTTCAGTTCAGAATTTAATAGGTATATTAACTGAAGAATATGGTGAGTCCAGAAATCACCCTATGAAGACAAGTTGAAGGAACCAGAAAGGTTTAACCAGAAATGAGCCGTTTTTAGACCCTTCACTTGTTACAAGACTTTAGTAATTTGACTATTCTAAACAGATTATTTTAATAGTTCTCAATAATTTAATAACAAGTACTTGCAGGCGTAGTTTACTTACTGATAGTCAATTCTCAGTTTTTTAAAAGGTAAATTTTTTTCTTTAAGCTAAACTAGAAAAATTTTTCTAAAAGTAGAAAAATTGATTATTTTGAAAAACATTTTGAATATTACACTGAAAATTTCATAGAACTACTGCTTCCAATCATCTGATTGCTTCAGATAGACTGATAATGTTAGAAAAAACCTCTTTATCAGCAATGCATGGCAGTCCCACAGCACTACTTTCCATATTCAACAAAACCTCCCTTTGCATAGATACGTGTGTAAAAACAGAACATTCATAGAGAGGGCAGAGTGCCATCAAAGGTGATTACAGAGACAGTAAAGTTATTTTATGCCAGGCAAAACAAAATGCTGGGTATCTCATAGTGTTTCAGAACCTGATTTCAAAAGGATCATACAGCTAGAAAATAAAATTTAGCATGGTGGACCGTTCTACAGGATATATTTGTAAGTATGAGATTCCATAAAATAGTTGATGAATACAATAATGTTGATTTGATATCAATGATGAGTGGATGTTTAACAGCAGGACTGCTAGAAGTATTAGATTTTTTCTGAGGAAAACAAACTACTAAACACATGTTTGCTTGGCCTAGGCTTTCTATACTTAAAAAATACTTGCCTGGCCTAGGCTTTCTAAAAAATACTTACAGTCATACATGTATAAATGAAGCTTCTAAATTGTGCAGTAAAGAAAAGAGTGTAGATTTAGAGTATGGTCTTTTATTTTATGTGGTTTGTGTGTGTGTGAACATGGATATATGTGTTTAAATAAGGGTATATTATAAAACCAGATGTCTCAGAATCCTTTGCTTCAAAAATCATGCATTATCAAATAATTAGTTCCATTATTTGATTAGTTGTACTGATTCCAGGTATCGACCGTTGCAAGATTTACATGAAGCATTGTTAATTTTGATTTTATGGAGTTTCTTCATTCCTTAATATTACACCTAAGCACAAATAAAAAACAAATTACTTGCTCTTTAAAAGGCAAGAATTTTCTGTGCTATGGCAAACAAAACCTCACTAAAGTGTAAATTGCTTGAGGTTTTTCTAAGTTTCATGTGACATTCCGTAACATAAGAAACACATTTAAATGCAGGTATTATATTGAATAGAACGAATTTATAACTATCAGGATAATAAAAACATTTAAATATGTGGAAAGGTAAAATTTAAGAAAGTTCATTTAGTTTCATATTACCTTAAGAAAGATTTCATTTAAATGCTAGAGAAAACTTGGATTTATTCTGGCATGATATATATCTAATTAAACTCATCACTAAAGCATTTATAACCACTCTAAGAATTAGATTGTATAGATGAAATGTACACTTTCGTTAAAAAAACATTGGAGGCAAAATCATTTTGGAGACCTAACTGTTTTAAATACTCTATACTTAGAGTGTAAAAGTGAGCACTAGTTTTACCGAGAGGATATGGAAAAATTTAAAAGACAGTCAGATTAGAAAAAATTTAAAAATAATAAATAAAAGACAGGCAGATTAATGCATAATGTTAACATAAAGTAAACACAAAATAAAGAAAGGGCAATGGAAAACAAATAAAATGTATAGGAATTTTTACAGTATCAATCTATGAAATTAATAAAATTCTAGATCAGAAGTTAAATCAAAAATAAGGATAACCTGGTGAGTGCTTGAAATGTGTAAACCTGGTGATTCACACACCTGTATCCCTGGGGCTAATAATAAATTATATGTTAATTTTTTAAAAAAAGGTAAAAATAATGGGGGGAAAAATAAGGATAATCTAATATTTACTAAGTAGAAAAATTATTTACTTAAAATATAAAACAAGGCATTTATAGAACTATTTTGCCAAATACGCATTCTCTGGGAAGTACGTAATAACATTTTTGGTTTTGTTATTATTTTCTTTTTAGGTCAATGGAATTCTTCCATAATCATACTACTAACATGAGAAAAAAATGATTGTTATTGATTTGAAATTTGGTGAGTTTCTCCAATTTAAATAAATTCTATATCATATCCATTTGGGCCATTCTTTTACAGAGAACTCTCTGTCAAATAGAATTTTAATTCTATAGAATATTTTGTCAATATAGAATTTTATTTGTCGAAATAAAATTTTGTCAAAATAGAATTTTAATTCTTTAGAATATTTTAGGCTAATTTTTATGTTTACCAGTAAATGACTATGTATGCTCTAATTCCAAGTAAATTTATTAATTTACTTTTTTTGGAATTACCAAAACTTTTTCTTAAAAGTTCTCAATTATAGGGGCACCTGGGTGGCTTAGTGGGTTAAAGCCTCTTCCTTAGGTTCAGGTCATGTTCCCAGGGTCCTGGGATCGAGCCCTGCATCGGGCTCTCTGCTTAGCGGGGAGCCTGCTTCCTCCTCTCTCTCTCTGCCTGCCTCTCTGCCTACTTGTGATCTCTCTCTGTCAAATAAATACATAATTTTTTTTAAAGTTCTCAATTATAAATATGAAGATTTCACTCCACCACTCTAAATTTTGGTATTTAGATGCAGATCTATTACTTAATGATATATACTGTTGAATGAAAAATTGCAGATATTTCTTTCTAAACCACTAGTTATTTTTGGAAATTCTTTGTCCTCAGACTGAATTTTATTTTCTTCATTTTTCCAGACAAAATTCCAAAGGCTACCTTTTCTCTTCTCATTTTAGAGGTATGACAATTTTAACTTCTATTCCTTCATCTATTTACCATCTTCCAAAATTAAAAGATTTTGTTGGTTTTTGTCTCTTTGTTTAATCTCTTTTTTACCTCCATGTCTAAGCCTTAACTATAATTTGAAGCAGTGTTTTGGGTAGAAGAAGTAATAAACTCAAGGGAACCAATCTGTCTATTATCAGAAGCTAAGTTAAATATTTGTGAATTTATCTTTTGGTTTCAATGCAGAAGGCACTATGAGGACATGGACAATGTTCTGCGGGATTTTAGCAAAGAAGTGGTGTATAGTCATAGTGAATCCAGGAGTAATCAGAAAAGGGAGGCGCAATGGACATTCATTTTCTGAAATATTAAAAGACAGGCAATAGGGCTCCATGGGGTGGGCAGGGACATGGAGCAGAACTCTGACATCGGGACAATCCCCCAATAAATTCCATTTCTCAATGGACTAGAAAACCAAAGATCTTTGTAAAACAAGACTGCTTTGTGATCTAATTTATGCATAATACATCTTTTACATAATTCTGTCACTAAATACTTTATTTCACTGTGGATGCCTTTCTGTCATTATATTGGTATTCCGTAATTTAATTTATGAATGTTTGACTTAAAATACTAGATAATATATAAACAACTACTTAAACATGATTATCAAATAACATTTGAACTTAACACTTCAGGGAATTTCTAGTCTATGAGGACTATAGAAGTCAGAAATATAAATAATATTATTTCATACATTTATATTTTTATTACCCTCTTTTTCCAATGTCATTTAACTAATGAGCCACTTGGGTGAGAGAACCTAAATTAATCACGTAGCTGAACACAGGGCTACTAATGGTCTATACAGAGCCTTTGCTGGAATTTTAAAAGATGGTCTTTTAAACTTAAATGATGGCCTTCATTCACTACGTGAATGAAGCCCCACTTGGAGGCCCTTTGCTTGGCAAAGAGACTGTGGGTGGACCTAAGCCTCTTCTCTCCTCCAGACAATGTGTGCCCATAGACGAGACAACCTCTTAAAATTTTAAAGGGTAGCTCTGGCTAGACTGTCTTCTCAGAGCTCTTCTGGCCAAACAAATCCTTCCCGGCAGCCTTGTCCCTTCAATATGATGTGTGCACCCAAAGTGCCTGACCTGCTACAGAAGATCCGGCTACTTCTAAGCTGGAACCCCAACTACTAACATAATGTGTGAACAACAGAAATAGAGGAACGTGGTACAAAAGAACAGGAAGATTTGCAAGGGAGTGTACTAACACACTGAAGAATGGATAAGGTTAACTGGAAGATTTACGAGGTCTGAGTTGAAATTTAAAAAGGGGAAGGAATGCAGTCTGGCAGAATGAGTGTTTCCTGTACATACAAGAGAGTTCAGGAAATATTTCCTGAGTGACAGAGTGCAAGAAGCTACAGGAAGATCAGATTAACTGGAACAGAAAGTTTTTGCGTACAAGCATTTTTCTGATCTTTACAATTCCATTTTAGAGACAAGGAAATTGAGAATCTAAGAGTTTACTTACAATTACACAGCTAATAAGATCCTGAACTCATGGCTGTGTTTGTTTGGCTTTGGAACATAGAATTATTTTAACATATGCAATCACCTGTCAAAAGCTGTGGGAACTCTCTAAACTCTAGAGCATCTCGGAATTACTTTACCTTTGTCATGCGTCTGACCTCAGTACATGTTGCATACTAAGCCTGTTCTACCTTTGCCAAACAATTCCAACAAAGTTCTTAAAAATATATGATAACTTGTAAATAGACATGAATTTTTGTTACAGAAATCACTAATGTGTGCATATAGGTCTGATTCATCAAGGGAGCAGACAATGACATACAAAAAATAGTGTTAAATATGGTAGGGAGGGGAGAAGTCATGGCCCAGCAGAAGCCAGGGATGATTCGTCTTATTGACACATGACGGAAAGAACGTCTTCACCAGCCTCCTACTTAGAAGAGAAGCAGAGAGCCATTGGATAATCTGCATTTTAGAGGTGATTACAGAGATAAAGAATCTTAAAATTTAATTCATGGTCCAATTATGCACAGGGTCAGTTATGAATAACCAATCAATGTAAGAGATTTTTTAGCCTCAATTATTTCAGTGTTAATCATCTTTGGTCAGATTTATCTTTCTAACAAAGCATCTTATTTTCATCACACTATTATTCAAAGACCTCAGTGAATTATTGCTACAACAGAATAGAGCCCAACATTTAAGACCATCCAGAATCTGTCTGCACACACAGTTATCCTTATAATCAACTCTCTCTTTTGCTTAAATTGATTTAAATCTATATTTGCAATCACAAGAGTCCTAAATTTGTTTTTTGTTTTTTTTTTTTTCCTATAGATATACTTAGCTACTTGTCCCTTGCTCCTCCTTATGGGAGAGACCCATACAGAAAACGAAATCCATCAGACCACAGAACCCCCAAATTCTTATCCCCAAACCTGCAAATATACTTAGATCTAGACCTATTCCAGTTACAAAATAACAGCTATTTCTTCCTCTATTTTCACTTCCAATTTTCTATCCCCCAATCTGAATTCTAATCCCTTAAAAAAAAATTTTTTTTTTTTCAGAAACCTAATGTCTACTGATTTTCCTCCTTTCTCCTAAGTCTACAACTTCTTTCCATAGACACTATTTGCCAATCTGAGGGCAGGTCACTTACACTGTAGATTTTGTGAACCAGATTCTTAGAGATGTGCAGGCCAGAACAGCCAGAGCACACAGTCCTGCCTCTTGGTCTCTGTTATACTGTTTGTTCCATGGCTTTCATTAGATGGGAAGGAAGGAGGGGTGAGAGGGAGGAAAGAAACAGGAATGGAGAGAGGGAAAAGGAGAGAAAGAAAGTACAAGTAGCCCTATATTTGTCCTGGTCTCCATTTCCTCTTGTTTTCTTCCCTCTTGCTTCTGCCCTCCCTGTTTGCCAAAACCCCTCTCACCAGGGCTCTTGATGACCTTCTTGTTAGCAAATCTGATGAATATTTGCTAGCCCCTTGTCCTCTCTCTCTCTCTCTTTTTTTGAGAGAGTGTTCACATGTGTATGGAATGGGCACTGGAGTGAAAGGGGGGGCAAAGGGAGAGGGAGAGAGAGAATCTGAAGCAGACTTCATGCCCAGCATGGCAGGGTTCGATCTTAGGACCCTGAGATCATGACCTGAACCAAAATCAAGAGTAGGATGCTTAACCAACTGAGCCACCCATTCTTTTTTCCTTCATCTCTTCCCAGCTCTTAACACTCAACTGACTAGTCTTTGCTTTTTGATAACTCATTCCTTGGTTTCTGTTTATACTCTGAAGCCTTCTTCAGGCTTCACTTTCTCAGTGTGTTTCTGAGTCATCTGTCCTGGGCCATCTACTTTTCTTAGTTCATCATCTCTTCCTGAACCATCTTATCTTTTCTTTTGGTTTCTCCTATGTGTTTTATAAAAACTGCCACCTTTATCTTGAGTTCAAATCTTTTATCTGAACTTGTTTCCTTTATTTCTCCCACCTTCCACATCCAATACATCAAGTTTTCCACCACGTCTAAAATCTGTCCCCCTCCCTTCACCTCTCCTGCCACTTTCCTAATCTAACCCTGTAAGACACTCACCTACATTCCCGCAGGCAATCTCCTAACTAGTCTTCCAGATTCCATCCTTGCACCATTACAATCAATTCTACTCACAAAACCCATCTCAAATGTTAGCACGTCACATTCATATTTTAAAATCTTTAATAATTTTCCAGCTCCTTCCTATGAAATTGATGGTGTGTATGGCCCAACATGCTTAGCTTTTACAGGTCTTCCAACTTCATCTCTCATCACTTTCTTGCTGCAATGAACATTTTGGAACATGATTATTGATCCAATCTTAGTTCTCTAGCCCATTCTCTCAGCTCTCTCCCTGCCATATTCTAGATTCATGAGAAGACTACATTCTTTTCATTTCCTCAATTAGGACATGAACCATTGCCCAAGCTGCCCTGTCCTCTTCACTCAGCACATTCCTGCACGTCCTGTGGGTTCCAGCTCAGCTATTACTATACTGGGACGCTGTCTCTAACCACCCCCAAGTCTGGCTAGGTTCTTCTCCTATGTGTACTCATGGCCCACTGGACTTCCTATCTCAAAGTCCCCATCAGAGAGACTTTAACTGCTTCCTAGTGAAGATAGGAAGAGGAAAATACAGGATCCACATGGAACACTGGCAGCCAGAACTTGGCACATAACAAGTGTTCAACAGATGTTTTGAATGAATCAGTGAAGACTAATATGAAAACTCACTGTTATCCTTAATAGTTCATTGTGTGTAAGTGTGCATACATATTTAGAAAATATTTCCATCTCTCATTATAAAATCTCATTATAAATTATAAATCTTAAATTTTTGAGTTGTTTTCTCAATGTTCTGAGTTTAAAACCCTCTATAACATACACTGCTATATAAAACCTGGGCTGAGTAAATTGTACCTAAATTTTAAAGCCAAGTTTATGCTGCCAACAATGGAGAAAACGAGGTAAGCAATCCCCTTCTCAGAATTCACCCTTAAGGAATCTTATTTTTTTACTTAGCTATATACACTATTTTGGCTAATTACAAAGAGGCAAATTCTTGTGTAATATATTGAGAGATCTTTCTAAAACTAAGAATTACCCAAAAATTCCCAAAAAAGGGGAGACTCAGAAGTTGAATTCATTGTTGGTGGGCCCTAAATGGGAAGATCTTTCTCAGTAAGCTGTATCTTTTTTAAAACATGATTAGGATGAATAAGTGGCCCAAGTGGGTTCTGAAGTCACAACTCAAAGTACCTGTATTTCTAACAAAATATTTATGAGTTATTTTATTCTCATCTCTCCTCCCCACCTCCACTAGTGATTGTATCCCATTAATTTCAAAAACTGATGCTTATTTTTTCATGATTTATAATTTTGTGTGTTCCTGAGACATTGACTCTAGCATATAATTATTTTAAATGACTAAATTATACTAAGTACATTTTGTATTGCTTTAGAAAAATGAGCAGTTGGAATTGTTGGATTTGCAAGATGTGCAGAGATGAATCTAAGAGGCTTCCTTCAAAGTAAGTGGCATTTAAATTAGATGGCCATTCTCATGCATATGTATCACATGATAAATAGGTGTACATTTATTCAATGGCTAATTTAATATATTTTGTTCAGAGAGTAAAATTTGCATTTACACATGAGCAATTCCACCAGAAGAGCAATCATGTATTACCCTAAGGTTTCATTTTCATTATTCATGGTTTACACTTGAGAATTAAGCAAGTTTAATGTTTATACAGTGTCTATTATGAATAAACACTCTTTGATTTCTTTAAAGTTTTATATTGTTTATGTTCAAATGAGATTCTTTATCCAAAATATTTTCACGATTCTAACCCTCCATCTACAAAGTGCCAAAAACCTCATGTCTATTTGGAAGAAGGGAGACTGGTGGGATAACCAGATGCTTACCAACCTCCCGAGTCTCTTGGATATTTTGCCAAACTAAACATGTAGCCATTTGGATGGGAACAGTGATGCCGGAGAAGGGTAACAAACCGTTTGATTGGATTTTCCACCTCAAGGATTCCCACACACTCAAGGATTCCCGCACTGAGAATCACTGTATGTTAGTTTAACCAGAGTGCCTAACCAAGTCCATGTGGACTGCTCAGTCCTGGCCCCATCTCCCTTGCTATGGTCACAGCTCCTGGCATGCCTGTTCCTGCCCTCTAGTACCAACATGTCCGAAAATACTTATAAACATTTGTGTGACGTGAGGAGGAGGCTGCAGTGGTAGGTGGAAGAGACAAGAAGACCCAAAGCTCAGCATTTTAAACAACCAGGTGAAGCTGCTGTGCTGGGAGGGAGATGCAGTAGGCTAATTCGGGATCAGCTTCCATCTCTTCTGCTGATGACTCCCATGGAGTCTCACCACCAGGGGCTCACATTTTCTTCTACTCACCTTGTAGACCAGCCATCAGGGAAGAGGGAGGCCAGGGAAAGAGAATTCACAGTCATGACAAGCTGGTAGATAACAGTAGTTTGATAGGTGGTGTATGTTCATGACCTTCTCTACTTTTCAAGATAACTTCGAGAGATAGGTATTATCTCCATCTTACAGATAATAAAACTGGGGGTCAAAGATTTTAGGCAAAACCAAAAGCTATTAAATGCAGCACTGGAATTAGAACTCAGGACTCTCAGACTCCAATCACTCTTCATTCCCATTTCCACAATGACATGAGGTCTCAGAATGCTCCCCTGTTTTGTACCTGGTGCTTTTATTAGGAAATCCGGGTAGGTGAGGGGACAGAGATGTTTAGAAATACCCTCAGCTGGGGGCGCCTGGGTGGCTCAGTGGGTTAAAGCCTCTGAAGGTTAAAGCCTTAGGGCTCGGGTCATGATCCCAGGGTCCTGGGATCGAGCCCTGCATCGGACTCTCTGCTCAGCAGGGAGCCTGCTTCCTCCTCTCTCTCTACTTGCCTCTCTGCCTACCTGTGATCTCTGTCTGTCAGATAAATAAATAAAATCTTTAAAGAAAAAAAATACCCTCACCTGAATAGCCATGGGACAGCATGAAACTTGAGATACTCAGAAAAAATTACAAGCAAAATGGGGTTAAACCAAAACCAAATTTCATTTTACAACTTTAACCCCAACTGTAATCACTCTGATCGTGATCTATTCCCATAAATCTCATGAATCTTAGATAAAGAAGAATTCTCTCAACAACAAAGTGCCAACGCTTTATTTTAAGTAAGCCAAGACAATGACAGCATCTTTGCTCATGTTGTAGGTTTTCTTTTTTTCCTATATAATGGGAACAAACGGGTGGAACAAAGAGGAGTGCCACATACCTTGCCTAGTACTTACCATTTCACTGGATGGAAAAGGTTACTTTAGGTTACTGTTCTTAAAGTTCTAGTAAGAGAAAAGAACAACGAGTCAGATACCAGGTCATGGAAATGTTTTTTGAAAGCAAACTTAACGTCAGTATACTGTTAAGCCTCAGTACTGATGCACATAGTCCACCTAAAACTGGCAAGGACCATCCAAATTTGTAGAAAACAAAAGACATTTGACCTTTTTAAGACTCTTGATATTTTTCCATGTTCTAGGTCATTTTTTAACCTCTTTGACTAATCTTCTCCTCCATTGTGTTAAGTCCCTCCTAATGCTGATAGCTGTTCCCTCAAGACAGTTACTGAGCTCCCTACACCAGGTGTAGCCAATGCATAGGGCTTGCTTGTATCTATAGTGAGCTGATGACTTGAAATCACCAGAAACAGGAAGATGAAGAGTGAACCAACTGTAAACTGAAACAATCATAAGGTGAATGGCAATGAACACACTGAGTATTTTGAAGGAGAGAAAATAAAATGATACGTAAGAATCCATAGTCACTTGCCAATCACCTCACAAAGCCCCAAAAGATGAACAGAAATGAAGCCTCAAACCCAGTATTTTCCACAGATTTTTTGAAATGGTAAATAGTTTTTATACCATTTATTCACGTATTATTCACTTTGAAAAAATTCAAACCCTCAGCATGTAAAAAAAAAAATATAGCAAATAATAGAGAAAATATCTGCATATAATAGATATAGGGTTACTAACTTTATTATATGAATGCATGCAAATAGACTTTGTGGATAAACTCTAAGATGTGAATAGTTACATGGGCCAACACATTACTGATGCCAGCAGCACATGATGCAAACCCAAATGCAGTTTGGCAATTTATACCAAGAACCTTAAAAATGTGCATTTTGTGGGGCACCTGGGTGGCTCAGTGGGTTAAAGCCTCTGCCTTCAGCTCAGGTCATGATCCCAGGGTCCCGGGATGGAGCCCTGCATCGGGCTCTCTGCTCAGCGGGGAGCCTACTTCCTCCTCTCTCTCTCTGGCTGCCTCTCTGCCTACTTGTGATCTCTTTCAGTCAAATAAATAAGTAAATCTTAAAAAAAATTTTAAAAAAAATGTGCATTTCTTGACCCACTTTAATTCTACTTCTACAAATCCCACCCATAAGCAATTACCCTGTGTGAGCATAGCAAGCCTTAATCACAAGTTTTTATGTTAAAAAAATGAGAAATAACCAAGATGCTCATTGAGAATAATTATGTAAACTATAGAATGCCTCCTTATAGGAGCACCTGGGTGGCTTGGTTGGTTAAGTGGCCAACTCTTGATTTCAGCTCAGGTCATGAGATCGAACCCCACATTGGGGCCTGTACTTGAGGATTCTCTCCCTCTGTCCCTCCCCAATCCACGTTCTCTCTCTCTCTCTCTCAAATAAATAAATCTTAAAAGAAAAAAAAAAGAATGCCCCCTTGTAGAACACTCCACAATGACTATCAAAGATTATAATGTTATAATTATAAGTCATTACACTGTAAATGGATTTTAAGATAATTGTGATGACATATAAAAAGCTTAATACAAGTAAATATATACATATATATGTATACACACACAAAGTATGCACATACACAAACACACATTCAGAGTATGGCTACTTCTTAGTTAAAAACACACACACAAGTAACAAAAACACTGAAAACAAGTAAATCAAAATATTAATAGTAGTAATTTGGGAATAGGGAAATTACAGGACTATGGATCTTTGTCTTGTAAAAATTTATTTTTAAATTTTATACTACTTTCACAATTTTTTTAAGTTTAGTAATTTAGAAAGTAAAAAAATGTAGGAGATCACAGAAAGATAAATTTCCATCCAAAAGCACACACAAATAGAGTACAACTATAATTTGGCATTATTTTTAAGATCATGTATTTCTGTGTAGTTCAGCAAAACCTTGAGAATACTTTGGTGCAATGAGCACCTTCTTTTTCTTTTCAAAGCATTACTTTGGAGGAAGTATTACAGTGGGGCCAGTCTTTTGAAAAGCTGATGGCTACAAAATGTGAGTATTATGTATATTTCATCTTTGACTAACTAGTCAGTTTCACTCCTAACAGAAAAAGGTGGCACTAGATGATGAATGTACGCCTCTCTTCTCATAGCCTTCTAAATGGCAACTGCTCCCAGTTAAAAAAAGAAAACCTGAAAATAGTTTCTCGTGTCAACCACTATTATTTTCTTTGGTGTTAATTAAAACAAGATTAGTCACTGGGAATTTTTAGTTTTGACAAGTGTATGTGTAAAATCCCTTAGAAAATATGCTTAAATTGTAACACATACTGAAATATACTGCCTTACCATGGCCTTCTAAAGTTAGGATTTTAGAAAACTCAACAATGTGCTGCTCTTAGTGCTTTCAAAAGTAAGAAAAAGTTTGAGTCTTAATGTTTTGAAACTCCTCAGAGTTAGTTTTCTGTTTTACCAGGGTCTGATTTACATAAGACTTCATAAAAGTCTGCATATAGTGGTATGGAAGTATCAACATCCAGATGGTATAAATGAGAGTTAACAAAAATGGTTATTAGGGAGATAGAGTCATAGGCTCAATGCAAGGAATACAAAAACGTGTGTGCATTCATGGGTACAGCCACTTGTATATGGGGTAGAGAATTGGGAAGTTGATAAGTACCAGAATACAGGTACATGGGGGAAAAAAAATGTAGTAGGTACTCATGGAAAATTCTCTTGTTTGATGAATTCAGTATTTTTTTTTTTTTTAAAGATTTTATTTATTTATTCGACAGAGAGATATCACAAGTAGACAGAGAGGCAGGCAGAGAGAGAGAGAGAGAGAGAGAGGGAAGCAGGCTCCCTGCTGAGCAGAGAGCCCGATGCGGGACTCGATCCCAGGACCCTGAGATCATGACCTGAGCCGAAGGCAGCGGCTTAACCCACTGAGCCACCCAGGCGCCCAATTCAGTATTTTTTTAAATGGACTTTGTCCCCATCAAATATTTGCTAATTGTTGCCTATAGGCCTCTTATTATTTGAGATTCCCTATTGGACTCTCTGCAAATATTTCATCTGTTTACACCTATTGACTATGGAGAGGGAGTTAGCTATGCTACTTAATGATTTAATTGATGGGATGTATCGGTGGTGACTCTGCATAGAGTACTTCCTGTTACTCCTGGGGGTGGCCATGTTTCTGGGGGACTCCTGCTCTCTCTGACACAAGGGCCCCTCCTGGTATGGAGACAGCTGACTCAGAGTGTGACCTCCAGAGGTGTAGATCCCTGGCTCCTTCTACAGGAACCCCTTCCTCAGCTACTCTGGAAATTACTTCATGGCCCTTCGTACTGGAATCCACACCTCCAGACCTAGCCTACCAACCCTTTCCAATAAACATCTGAGGCCAGGATTTTCTTGTGAATCGCCCCAGCCTTTTACTTTTCAAGTATTCCTCATATTTTGTGATCCACTTTGCCAGCATGATTATGAATTTTTAAAATTGAAATTTTGGGGGTGAATTTTAGGACACTGGAATGAGAGGAAGAGACAAAAGCATATATGTTCAGCTATATTGATTGACCCTCCGCTAAATAATTTGGATTTCAGTCCCAGCCGCTGCAATCCATGTTTTGCAACATTGCACAATCTCCCTCTTGAAGTTTTAAATTCTCCATCTGTAACATGGGGATAATATCACCCATCTTTCCAGCATAATTGTTTACATTACCATAAAACACCTAGCTTAAAGGCTGATGCAGATTAGGCATGCAATAATTGGTAGTTACTTTATTAGTAATAAAGTGCATGTCTCTGAATATCATTCCTTTTTCTTTGCTGCTTACCAAAAAGTTCAAAATCTCTAACTTGGCCTTCAAGACCCTTTATCCCCAAACTCAAACACACTTTCTACAATTTAGCCGCAGCTCTCCCTCCTCACATGACGCACCCCTCCGCCAGGGTGACCTTTGTTCCATGGCACACCTGTTCCAGGTTTCTTGGCAAGTCCTCTATCTACTCTGTTATCTGCCCGTCCTGGCTAGTAAAATTCAACTTCCACCTCTTCCCTGCAATCTCTTGGAAATACTTGCCGTCTTCTCTTCCGTTAGTATCATTATTTATTCTGCTTCTAAGTATGGTTATTTAGCGTACTGGGTTTTTTCCATAGACACTTTCTCAGTATATCTTAAATTCCCTGAAAACAGAGATCAGAGAGCATTCACCTTTCATCTCCTGTCCCAGAGGCTAAAAATGTGCTTTGTATCCAATGGGCATTTAATAAATGTTCAATGAATAATAACATAAGACAAATATTAGTGAGAAAAGATCAAACTATCAAGCCATATTACATAAAACTTTCTGTGCCAGTCCTAAAGGCCTCATAAACAAAGTGAATACAGTTAGTTGTTTGGTAATGATCTAATGACCTTAAGTGATAGCCTAATTACAATTAGCTATTTAGAGGTCTAGTGTCATGAGAATAAGCAAAGTTTACAGAAAAGATGAAGATGGGAAGGCAACATACTGCTCTTTCTTAAAACCAGCAAAAGCAGAATAAGAATCTTAGGAGAAATTGAATTACTGTGAAATTCATGTAAAATTTAATAATCACATAATTAAAAAAGGGATAAAACAATCTCTGGACCATCCAACTAGAAAGATAATTCAAAACAAAACAAAACAAAGAAACATTAAATGTGCCAGGGAATAAGGTGTGTTTACATTAACCAAGGACATTAGTAAAATGCGTTCTCTACCTAAGATACGTAGATGTTTCTTTCTACAGAGATTAAAAGACTATTTCTAAGAACATGTAGTTCAGAAACTACATGTAGGAAGGAAAGGTATTAAGCATGGTTTCAATGGATGAACAGGAATCGGTTTAAGAGATGTTTACTGAACAGACATTAAGTACTAGCTATTACAATCCCGTTAAGTTCAACTTCCTCTTGAGATGAGGGGATCTAAGAATATCATCAATTTAAGAATAGAACCCTGTCAAAATTAATCCCTTAATTAGAAATTAAGAATGCTAATAGCCTAGATGTTATTCAATGATTCATTATTGACAAACAAGTTAATTTTTTAAAAACAGTATGTGTGTTCAATATCCATTCACTAAATCTTAAGCACTTAGGTACCAGGCAATGTGCTTGGGGAAAAAAAATTCCATGCACCCATTAGCACATGAAATAACACAGGGAAAAGAGTAGATTTTTTCCAAAAACTGAAAATCTCCCAGAAAACAGGGAAGCCTACAACTGATAGCACATTGGGGTAAAGTAGAAAATGGTGATTGTTGCTTCTAGTAATATCCTGAATGGAACTTCAAAGGCAAGGCAAACACACACTTTTTAAAAATAATAGCCTTTGACAACATTTTCACCAAAGGATGAAGAAAGGGCTAAATGGCAGGGTTTGGTTTGGTTTCATTTGGTTTGTTTTTGGTTTTTGCTTCCAGAGTAAGGATGGTTTTATAAAGCTTGGCCTTTCCCTTGAAGAATCTATTATTACATTCGACAAGCAGAAAGAAGCTCTAGATATAGAAAGAAAAACACAGACACACATTTCTTTGACATAAAATTACTTGCAAGGTTGGGTTAGGACAGCCTTATAGAAGAGCAGCACTTAAAGTATATCCCAAAAGTGTAGTTTGTGACTGAAGAAAAATGTGTACTTGGGAGGCATCCTCTGAGAATCCGAGGGCTGAACAGTTTGCTCAAACAACTGCTAAGAACAAACTGCTTTGAGTTTTAGCATACAGTGTGAAGTATGATCCCTGAGCTGGGAAGCGTCTAGTGAGTTCCAACTATGTATAAGGTAGGGACAGTGGACGTACTTTCCTAAAGGCATCCACAATTAAAGATTAAAAAAAATATACACGCACCATAAACAATTTGTGAACAACTACAAAGAAGGGAAACTAGGAATAACAGATCACCTAGCACAGACCTCGTAGGTAGGTCTGTAGCACATATACACTAGGTTTGTGCTAAGGGGTGAAGATAGATGGGGAGGGATGGCAGGTCTCTGGGGAAAGCTTCTCACAAGAGGCAGATCTGAGCTGGGACTTGATTCAGACTGTTGTAAAATAATAAGGAGGTCTGACTGACAGTACTTTAAAAATAGTCAACTATTTTAGAAGTCCAGTAGAGAGACAGTGTGTAGGATTCCTCAGGATTTAGTGTAAAAATTGGTCTCATTAAAAAATCTCCATAATGAGTTAAGCAGAAAGTACCCTGCGAAATTTCCAAGTCTGCAGGTGATATAAAGTCTTCCAAGTTTCCAAACACCCAACTTTTTAGGAGAGTTACATTATTTGCAAATGGACATAAAAGTAGTAATAAGTTTTTTAATGGATCAGAAAAAAAAAAGTCAGAACTATTTGTTAATTTCTCATAAAAGTACCTGAGAATTACCAAAAATTTTTCCTTGAATGATGTTGACCCAAAATAGAAAGAAATTAGTAAAACTGCAACTCACTTGCTTGGATGATCTTTCAGTCGTTCCATGTGTCTGGTAAACCTTCCCAGCACTGGGACAGAGGTGAAAGATACCTATAAGGTCACTGTGCTCAGCTCATGTGCTCCCTCTAGAGGAGAAGATAGACAAACACACAAATAAATAATGAATACATTAATTCCAGAAAGCAGTAACTGCTTTCAAGAAAATAAAACCAGCTGACATGGCAAAGAGAAGGCAGATATAAGGGGACAGTTCGAGTGTATGACTAGAGGACAACTATCAGAAGGGGTAAAATTTGAGCTAAGAGCTGAACAATGAGAAGCAGCCAGCCAGGCTGGGATCTGTGGCAGAGTGGCCCAAGCAGAGGAAAGCCATGTTTAAAAGGCCTGGAGATATAAGTGAGGACATGGTCTTCAAATAAACAATGCTCACCATAACATAAGTATATGCCTTATTGGCCACATAAAAAGCTTTAAATTGCAGAGTAACAAGGGTCAATGTGATTTTAAGGGTACCCTCTGGGGCGTCAGTTAAGAATCCAACTCTAGGTTTTAGCTCAGGTCATGATCTCAGGGTCATGAAATCGAG